TATTAAACATCTCTGTAGTGGAGATGAGTCCAGCTCCCCGAGAGCAGAGCAGGCTGCTTCCCAGACCACCCATTGCTCCTGAGGTTAAACAACCCATCCAGCTGTTGGGGGGTGGGGGAACTGGATCAGACACACTGCACACCATGGCAGGCGTGGAGTTTGCTCATGGACACACAAAACATGGACACATTAAACTTTAACAACTGGATGTTCACACTCAAGTAAACAGATCAAGATCTTTTTCCAAATCGTTAATTTGACCACTAGTTAATGACAGCAATGGGGTTTCTTAGAGGGCACCTTCCCAAAACTAACAACAACCCGTGCAGCCCTCAGCACAGAAGTCTTGGAACACTAAGGTCAGCTGATTTTAAGAGGCAGTGGGGAAAAGCAGGGTATAGGGAGGTCAGAGGTACAACAGGAGCAGTCAGGAAAATAAATTGACCACGGTCATACAGCAAATAAACTGTGTGTCTGAGCTGTGAATAAAATCCAGAAGTCCTGATTCCTTGTCTCTCTGCTCTGTTGCTCCAGTCCTAGTCAGATCCTCTCTCCAAACAACTTTCTAATATAGACAGGCCAGGAGACTGAAACATTTATCCTATCTACAAACCAAGGGTAGTAAAAGGTTTCCTTCACAGAGTCACTCCAGTATTTCTGTTATGGCCTCAAAGACTCTGTTAATAAATATTGCACTTTTCCTCCAGGTCAGCAATCAGAATTTCTGAGCCTGCAGAATTTATCATTCTGCTCTGAAGGTATTTTCAAGAATGATTCAAACTTAAATCTGAGCAATCTTTTACAGGATGTTTCCTTCAAGTTCTGGCATCAACCAGTCTGTGTTTGCTAGGGTTATTGATGGTTTGTTAGGGTTATCACAGGAGTTGTAAAAGCAGAAGACATTTTCACACACAACATTTATAAATATCCAATATTGGTCAAGACTTATATCACTTTTCTGTTTCAGCAAAATAATAAACATCTCATATTCAGACCAGACAGAATATAGACAAAGTATGAAGATTCATACTCATAAACTTTTCTATGTAAAACAAGCTACATAATTCACAGGAGTACATAAGAGAGACTTAAATTTGTGCAATTGTTTCTAATCTTTAACTGTAAACATGCACTGTTTACCATGGGATGTGCAGTGTGATTTTTCCACATAGATTTGTAGCAAACCAATTAAGCAGCTGGTCTTACCTAAGACTTAAAAGTGCCGAGTGAAAAAAAAAACAACAACAAAGCAAAAACAAACAAATAAACAACAACAACAACAAAACACACAAAAACCCTCCCCCCAGATTTAGGATGGGCTCGGGATTACTGAAGTTGAGCCATTGCAAAGTGTATTGATCAGTTTTCCTAATAACACATCAGTCACTGAATTCAAGTGTTCAGTTTTAATTTAAGGTTTTATCAGCTATTTGGAACCTGGAACCCATGGGGTCAGGACTTCAGTGGTGCAAATCAGAGCAGTTTTCCTGTAATGCACGATTATACAAGTTTGGAACTGATCTAAATATTTCACAGAATCACAGAAAATTCTGAGCTGGAAGGGACCCACAGGGACCACAGAATAACTGAATGGTTTGTGTTGGAAGGGAGCTTAAAGCTCATCAAGTCCCACCCCCTGCCATGGGCAGGGACACCTTCCACCATCCCAGGTTGCTCCAAGCTGCGTCCAACCTGGCCTTGGACACTTCCAGGGATGGGGCAGCCACAGCTTCTCTGGGCAACCTGTGCCAGGGCTTGACCACCTTCACAGGGCAGAATTTCTTCCTAATATCCCATCTAACCTTACTCCCTGTCAGTTTGAATCCATTTCCCCTTGTGCTGTCACCACATGCTCTTGCAGAACGTCCCTCCCCACCGTTCTCTGTCGGATCACCCCGAGCCCAACTCCTGGCCCTGCACAGGCACCGTAACAACCCCAACCCTCTGCCTGGGAGCGTTGTCCAAACACTCCGTGAGCTCTGGCAGCCTTGGGGCCGTGCCCACTGCCCTGGGGAGCCTGTTCAGTGCCCGACCACCCTCCGGGGGCAGAACCCTTTCCCGGCACTCAGCCCACCCTCCCTCGCACAGCTCCAGCGCTCCCCTTGGCCGGCGCTGCCCTCTCGTGGGCACCGCCCGCCTTTCCCCTGCGAGCTTTGGTAGCCGAAGGAGCAGTCGCACAGCACGTCCGACAGCAGGTACTTGCTTTCTGGTTGGAAAAACAGTGAAAAGGAAATGCCTGCCGGTGCTTTATTAGTGTCTACGAAGCGTTTCTGGAGGACCTTTAAAATGTTTTCAGCAGTCTCGAGACCAGTCACTCCCAAGCGTAATAGAATGTAAACCTGTTTAACAAACAAACTGTCTGCAAACAGTAAAGCCATGTCCTGAAAAACTTAATTACTGATTCAGCAGTTCGGGGAATAGATACAAGGACAAGAGCACTGTTGTTCTGTATTGACTGGCTGCCGTTTCACCACTTTATCAGTGCTGATCTAATAAATTTCCAGTCTGTGTGTGTGGGCTACACTTACTGGTTCTTTCCTAACTCTCTGGTGAACAGAGCAATAGATTGTACCCGACTGCCTGGTGCCCTGGTTTCCCCAAAACATTTAATTTTACAAAGATGCACTTGGGGTTCCTATATGGAACAAATGCATATATGCTTAAACTTTTTTGTTCTTCCCTGTGAGAGCATGCTCACATAATTTACAACAGAGAAGCCATCCAAGGATGCCAGCAAGCTACATTCTGTTTTCACTATTCAGCAATGACAAAGGTCTTTCATAGCATGAATGCTTCACCTGTGAATTCTTTTTTCTTCAGAATATGACAATAAAAACATTCACTCTAGCAGTAACATTCATAATGCAAATCACAGTCCACTAACTGAGACCACCAACACATTTACTGGAGTTTCAAGTACTTGCAGGTTATAGTGGTATGTGAGAATTACATCATGTTTATATGGAATTGACTGAGAATCCTGAATTTATTCTAACAAATATGATCTGGGAAGTAGTTTTCAAATAGAGTAGGCAGAGATTTCTTGAACCAGTGTAAAGTTTAATGAAAGAGTAAATATGGGCTCTAATCAATAAAGTCACTGCTCATTTGTCACTCAGCTAATACTCCCCATGCAGCCAAAACACAAAAATAAGTCAGTGAGAGGGATTTTCTGCAATCCTTTTCTGAAACAGAATTAAACAGAACTTCAGGACCAGGCCCAGTTCAGATCAGATCTAACTGCACAGTGCCTAAAAGAGACACAAAAGTTTGCAAGGTCCAGTGTACCATTTATAAAAATGTGAGTAATGTGGAATCAAACTCACCTCCAGTAAAGACTTCTGGGGTCTATAAAATTTATATAACAGAGGTGGTCTTCTAATATCCAGAAACAAAGCAAATATATTACACATGAGAATATTTTCAAGAGGCCTGTTCAGAGAGCAGGCTGCTGAGCAGGAGGGATCTCCCACCCTATACAAAGATTAAGCACCTAAAAAATTATATACCATAGAGAAGAGAAGAGCAGAGCATTTTAAAGTAGGGCACAGCTCAGCTGGGAGATACAGATCGTATCAGACATGCAAACAATACTTATTTCTTCACTGTAATTTCAGGGACTGTGCTCAGTAAGACTGCTGGAAATGGTAAACAGAGAATAGTACAAATAATTAGTGCCTGATTAGAAAGAACTTTCAAACAAGTAGTCTCAGCCACGCTGATGATTTTAGCAAAACTAGACTAAATTCTGTTTAAATGTGGAAGACTACACGAGAATCCACCAACAATTGTGAAATCTACATGTCAGCTAGAAGGGGCTGCCTGACACTAAGAATTAGAAAGGAAGGCTTTTCTCAGGATGTGGAGCTCACGTATGTAAGGCTGGAAAGATGACAGGGAATTCACAGAAGGAAGGTACTGCCAACTACATCATATAGGGGTCAGGTACCCTCAGGGCATCAACACTTCCCAAACAGTACTACTATTTAACATATCACTGGAAGTTTTGTATAGGCCCATTAATCCACTGGAACAGCATTTCTGTCTTATCTCCAGTGTTACCAGCCACAGTCTGAAGAGCAACTGTAAGACTACAAAGAAACGAGAAAAATATACTTTCATTAATTACTGTGCCCCCTCCCCAAGACAACACTAAAATAGTTGAATTAATAAAATGTACCAAATCTGGTAAGAACATTCTACAATATGTTATATGCAAGCTGGCTTTAGCTCATTTTGTTAGTAGGATTAATTTTTAGAAATTTAAGACTTTCTTGTTAATCCCAGATAATAGTGCAGTTTGGTAAACTAATCAGATTACAGTGAATGTCAGTGCCATTTGATTTTAAATGATGTGAAGCATATTACTGGAACTATCACCCCCTCATTTTATGAAAGGATGATCTGGAAGAATGTCAGGCAGGGTTCACTGTGTCTCAACAGCTGCAGAGCTCTGCTTCAAGTCCTTTTTAAAATTATGGCTTTGTTTATTCTGCTTCATCTCTGACTGACATTTTCTGACAGCAAGTTAGGACAGGAATTTTAAAAAGACTGTTGGACTTTGTCACAACAATGGATGTTCAAATACTGTGTAAGAAACTGGTATACAAACTTACCTTCTACACAATTACCACCTCCTACCACCATCAGCCAAATATCTGATGTGTATTTTCAATTAAAAATCAACTACCCTACCTAGTCCTTCCCACTCATTTGATTCATGAGCTTCATTTTGCATCTCCCTCGTTCCCCATACCTTTACTCTGATTGGTTCCAGCAGGGCTCAAGCCTATTTTATTTCTGGTTAATCAGATTAGGTAAAAAGCTGGGATTGTGATGTCAGTGCATTAATAGAAGGAAGTAATACTTCCTGCAGGAAAGATGGCAATTTTGACCTTTTAGAATCAGGTCTTGATCTGACTGCAAGATGAAAGCAGAGCAAGACAAACTGCAGCAAGAACAGCAACTCATTCTGTGAGAGCAGAGTTCAAAGTGAGATTATGGCTCGTGGACTGCAGGTAAGAAAGAATAAAGCCCTCATGTTTGGTGTTTTGCTTGAAGGGAGCTTTGGGTGGGGGGAAGGAGGTCAGCTTCAGCAAAAATAGTAAACATTAGAAATAGTAACTCATGGAAGGCCTCAGTTCTTACAGGAGAAAAACTGGCTTTCTGAACAGAAGCATCTTATTAGATTCACTTTTTTACAAACTTGTGACACTATTTGACTTGAATATACCTATATTCATATTCTTTCATTCTGTGCTGATGAAACAATACTTACTTATAAATCTCTTTACTGTACAAAATTGCTGTAATTCATTTTGTTGGGTTTTCTCCCCCTTAAACTCAGAAACCTACAGTAATTGAACAACAGATGAGACTGAAACTAAATTAAACAACTAACTCCTCAAGTTATAAACTCATGATTTAAAAATTTAATTACTTTGTATGATAGTTTAGCAGACTGCCTTATTATTATGGGCTGCTGCTGTATTATTTAGCATGTGCCACAATACAAATGGTTTTATGAGCCTGGTGGGTGTATGCAGCAGGTTGCTATGGTGATGTGGTGCTCAGACTGATGCAATCCTTAAGGTTCTGTTCTTGAACCTTCCATCAGACCTTAAAAAAGGCTTCACACACAGCAGCAAACAAAGTACTAACATAACAGATACTGTTTGCACAGAATACCCTCAAGGAGCACAGTTGTTAACCAAATAAAAGGTACAAAGGTGCACTGCTGGAGGAGCTCTAAGCAGTAATGACTGTGCACACCTGTAAACCTTAAGATTAGCTTTATTCCATAGGTACATTAACATGGACAAAGCTCATCCCTCCCCTGAGCTGAGCCAGTTGTGATGCCTCCCATCAAGTGCAGCAGAGAAGCTGAACATACTGTCAAGGTGGCTGACCTTTAACTTGCTGTGCAGATGAAAGCCCAGTTTATAAATGCAAAGCAAATGGTAAAGCTGAAGTCCATTAAACACTGTGATCAGTATCATGACTGGGCAAAAGAAACTGCTCCAATCACAGGGAGCATTGTCATTGCATCTAAGCTGCAGTTATGCAGAATGCAAGAGAGATGAGGATGTTGGAAAAAAATTAGAACAAAATAAAATCCAACAATAAGACAAACAGAACTTTTTAAACTGCTCATCATGTCAGTGACTATCCTTAAAGGTGCTTTTTTGGAACTCCAAATGAAAATCATGCTTCTATGTTCCAGTCATCTCAAATAAACATTGTTATTATTGTACCAATGCTTCTAATGAATTCCTGTTGTCACTGACTCTTGTTGACAGAACCCCATATCCTGCCTGTGTATTCGCTATTGGCAACCTCACACAGGCAGAAATTACCCCTTTTCAAGCTGTCCAGCTGGGCTAATACAACACTGAAACAATGAGCAGCTCTGCACTGCACTGAAGCTGCTGTGGATGTCATTGTGTAGCCTGACCCACAGTCATACCAGTGTCACTGCCAGAGTCTCTCCCAAGATCAATAAGGCACGAATAAACCTAATTTAAAACCAGTCCTTCACCTAAGCTTTCACTGTGCTGACTTTAGCCACGAAGAAAATAGAAGCTAAACCAGGCAAAACAGTAGTGCTGCCACTCAGCCAGGGCTCAGCTGTGAGGTTATTCTGCATGTGTATCTTGGACCATTAGGGCCTATCAATTCTGAGTATTTGCAGAATACAGTTAGTCCAGCCAGGGTGAGATTCTTTGTGCATTGCCTTGTAACACAATAATCTGTTCTCTGAAATCTTTAACACCTGTCTCAAGCTTTATCTTTAAATGCAGTAAGCTATTCATGGCCAACTTAAAATAAATGGCAGTAATTGCTTATCTCATTTTTGGCTGCTGTGAGTTTTGCAAGTAATAACCTCCTACTGCTCCCTACAGTCCATTTTTCTTTTCTTCCTAAGCACTCATCTCTGCTATGCCAAAAAAAAAAAAAAAAAAAAAAAAAAAAAAAAGAGGAGAATTAAAACAATTCATCTCTCTAAAGAGCTTACAGGTGTTAACTTGTTATCAATACTTTATGCTATTCCTGCCTAGTCCACAGCTCTGTGCTATTAGCAAAGCACTGTACTGAGTTCTGTGGAATGTGACTGGTGTGTACCTAACCTATTTTGCACCAGTGAAGCTTTGAGCCAGCTTTGAATTTTTCTTTCAGTCAGTTCTGTATTTTTAACAATAGCAGGGCAATATTAGATGTGACAAAATCTCACTTATTTGATTTTTTTCTGAACTTATTTCTAATTCATATTAGCCGTCTTATTCACAATTCCTTCTACCTTGTTATATATTTTTTTCTTGCCTGCTTTTGTACCACTAATTTATAAATGAAAAAAGCATCCACTAAGGTCTTGAATCCAAAGAAAGATCTGTTTGGGGCCAGAAGAGAAGCCCAAAATGGAGAAAGTGTAGCCCCTAGGAGCACACCTCTGGGTGCAACGGCCTGCTGGAATGAGCATGTTGAATAAAGAACTGTAATTCTAAATCTTGGTGTCAAAAGGGTTAAAGCCCTGCTCGGTGGGAAGCAGCCATGGCCTGTCCCCAGCCATGCCGAGGAGCTCTGCTCACAGGGCAAACAGCACAAGGAGCTGAGCTGCAGCTCAGCAGGTCTCTGTTTCCCACCTATGGGGCATCCTCTGCAGCTTCTCCTTTTCCCCACTGCCATCCCAAACCTTCTCCTCTGGGCTGAGTCATCTCCCCTGTCCTCTGAGACAGCTGGTGGTTGGTGTCAAAAGTTCAGCTGTAAAGTCACTCTTAGGAGGCAAGGTTTTCTCTTTTACACAATGGAAAATGACAGTCAAGGTAGTGCATCACCCCAAAGTAACCTGCTGGCCTGTAATCCCAATTTAGTTGCCTTAAATTTTAATTTCTGCTTGTCTTAACACACAATCAAGCTACTGAGCTCTGCAGAAGGGGAAATTGTTTTGGCTGGGATTTTTTAATGGGTTGGTGACTGGGCAAAGTAGTTATCTGTCCAGTCACAACTCAGACAAGCACACTAGCTCCTAAGTTATCAGACTGTGAATTGTTCTCTCAGAAAGATCAAACCCTCTCAGAAATATTTCTATTTTGACTTTTATTGGGTGGGAGGAATTCTTTCTTTGCATTATCAGACTGGAAAGCTTTTTCCTGTATGACTCTGTTGCTACACTTAGAGCTATTTACCTTTCACTTGCAGATAAGAGATGAACAAAGTGGCTACAACAAAAATCTATTTTGCATTCCTAAGCATTATGAAGAAGATTTAGAAAGAGTCTTCATTCCTCATGGACTCATCCTGGACAGGTATGAGGGGAAAGAGCAAAGTGAAGTCAATGATAATTTCCCTGTGCAGCCCATGAGAAACATGGAAACTCTGCAGCTCTAACACTTCTGTTCTAGAGTTCAATACAGGAGGGGAGTATGGAAAAGATTCCTCTACAACATCAGTTAAGTTTCCATAGTACATCAAATATCTCCAAACCTGTCTATCCTGCAATGTTTAGATTTATGGATGAAACCAACAACATGTCAAGTGGATTAAGCATCATCTTGTGCACTGCGAGTACATCACTTTCCTATTTCTTCCTGTGGTCACAACTTGCTAGTTATAAAAACCTAACAGCAAGATCAGAATTTTAACTTGGACACTGCTTAATACATGGACAAACAAGTATGATATACAAAACACTTGACAGAATGTGTTTTCTCTTTTTTTATCTCCCAGGACAGAACGCTTGGCTAGAGATATCATGCAAGACATGGGAAGTCATCACATTGTTGCACTCTGTGTCCTTAAAGGAGGCTATAAATTCTTTGCTGATTTGCTGGACCATATAAAAGCACTAAATCAAAATGGTGACAAATCTGTGCCTATTACTGTGGATTTTGTTAGAATAAAAAGCTACTGTGTAAGAAATTTTCTTTTCTTTGGAAAATTGACTCTCCGCATAGATTGACATTCTAAATACTGGTAGTTTACATGAAAACTCCACAAAAATTGAGTTTGTGCATATATCCTGTTCAAAGCAATCCAACTGATTACACACTGAAAAGGAATTGATTTACTGATCTGCCCCAGTGAACCGACAGATATTATCCATTCACTTCAACAGACATACAGCAGAATGAATCAACATGACAAAGCCAGGGCAGGGCTCCAACATCCTCCTCTTGCAAAAAGCAAGAGTAGCACACCATTCACACATACACACAGTATAACACTCTTTATCATGCTTTATGTGATTTCCCACTCTTCTTTCTCTTTCTAGAATGATTCACCTGCAGGAAAAATCAGTTTTGTTGGCGAGGAACTGTCTACACTAAATGGGAAGGTATGAACTAGCATTTTCACCTTTTAAAGGGAAAGAAGTGTTCTTGTTTATCTTTCAGGAAGTCCATCTTTATTAAGATTTTGGTACTGCATACTTACAGCCACTTGACACTAATTTAAAATGCTGGGCTTTGAAACAGTGAGTAATTCCCACTGATCTCAGTGGATCCACAATTTATCCCACAGCCCCCAGAAACGAACAACTGACTCATCAGGATGGCTCTAGAATACTAGTGCTCTACATAGAATTATAGATACAACTTGACTCACCATGTTTAAAGCTTCCATAAATACTTACAGAAAGACTCTTCAGAAAGCACTAAAGTAATGTCAGTAGTTAAGCAACAAGCTCCTTTAAAAATCAATTGCAACTTCCTAATAACTAAAGTTTGTAGTGTGCTTTTCCTGGGTATATAATTTACTGAATGTTGCCATGTAAATATTTTCTTTTGTCTCTTTTCTCCCTACATGATCTCTCCCAGAATGTGTTAGTAGTAGAGGTAAGTAAAGGTTGGAGGAGGTGGGGAATGACATGGATGTTCTTCTCCCCTTTCTGCAATTTAATACATATTGCATATAAAACAATGTCACTGGTCTGCCATGGCTTTATGCTCTAAATTAATTCACTGACAGTCTGGTTTCCCTTTCAGACTCAAAGGGCAATTTTTTTTTTTTTTTAATCTCTTTCAGGACATTATTGAGACTGGTAGAACAATGACAGCACTACTTTCAAAAATAAAAGACAAGAAACCAAGGATGGTGAAAGTTGTAAGGTATAATAATATGGCCACTAACTAATGTGTTGTTAATGTACATTGATACAGCAAAATCATTTGGGTGAACAGTCAATGCATGCTGGTGGGTGTTTGTTTGGTTTGAAGTTTGGGGGGAGAAGTAGCAAATGCAGGATGCAATCCTTATCCAGCTGCTGAAAAACTAGGTGTTTATTAAAGGGGAAAACTTACCCATGCACTACCACCTTCATTGTTCAAATTTTTAAAAAGGTTTTCTGGTTCTTTCTCTGTAGTCCATAAAATCTGGACCTCCAGAACAAACCTAGATCAGAACCTTTGCTTCTTCCTCCATTATAAAGCTGAAAACTACATTCTTATGTTACAGTAATCTCCCTGTTTTAATTTAATTGTGCATGATTGTAGAAGCCTAAGGGGAGGGGTGGGAGAAGTGAACTCTACAGCTTCTACCTTCTCTGCTCTGCCTTACAGCCTGCTTGTTAAAAGGACATGTCGAAGCCCAGGTTACAGGCCAGACTGTAAGTATTGTGTTCTTCTGGTTACCCAAAATACAGTCTCATAATTTCACTTCACGTGGTCTCTCTGACAACTGGCATACAAATTTCAGGAAGGCCAAGAGAAACGGGTAGAAAATGTATGAAACCCAGTAAACTGATGAACAGTTACCCCACCCTGAGACCTCACGACCACCTTCTTTGTATCCCCCTGCATGACCTGAGCACAAGATTAGCTATTTGATAAGTAAATTAATTTTAAAAATCAAGAAATAAAATAATTAAATATAAATTTAGCTATTTAGATACCAGAAACAGAATCTAACCTTATCTGTGTATTGTTTGACTTTAACCCCAGAGGGCAATTGTTTTGACTCTATATTAAACCTGCCCTGTTTTCAAACTGAAAAGTCCTACTGAGTCGCAGTGCATCTACTTTCACACAAGCAAAATCTCACTCCTTGTCTTCTCTTCTGGGACTACTTCATACCTAGATTCTAAACAATTATTTTGTTCATAAAATGCATTCTCTTAGCACTTTAATTGTATTACTAACTGATGGGAATGGTTTATATTCTAACCTCTGTCATCAGTTTGCAGGTGATTCTTAAGGAATTGTGCTCAATACCCTGAAAGCATGACAATACATTTGTCAGCAATCGCTCTTAGCTCAGTATAAACTATGTACTTAAAAACTATTTACACAACCCGAGTATAGAAAAAATTGTATTTTCTTACAGATATAGGCTTTGAAATTCCAGATAAATTTGTGGTTGGATATGCCCTTGATTATAATGAGTACTTCAGAGATCTGAATGTAAGTATATGCATGTGCCTCCACTGTTAGGTATGAAAGCTACCATAGGTAACCAGCAAGACTATTCACTTCTTCTCAGAGCTTCTCAACAATTATAAAACCTTCAAATCTGACTAGAAACTTCTGGGCAAATCAATTTTAAGGTGCCAAGCTGGTAATTCAATGTAAATGCATATGAATTTGTTCATGCCTTACCTTTTAACGACTCTACTCCACAAGTCCCGTGGCCCATCTGTGCTGTACCACATTTTGAATCTCCCAGGATGGTGAGCAGCACACAGTCTACTGACTACATCTGAAAAGAAAATAACTTGTAATTTGACATTAATTTGATTGTCTCTCTTAGTACAATCCTGTGTTACTCTTTTCTAGCCAAGTCTTTAAGATGGCTGCGTGAGGACTGTAAGTGAAGGTTTTCCCTACACTGTGTAACATCCATCAAGATCTTTCTTCCCTTGTTCCATTACAGCCTCCTTGGGCTGCACTGAGTGAGCATTAACTGATAAAAAGAACTGAACTTTTTTTCCCCCTTTTCTTTTCAAAAGTACTTTCTTAAATCTAGTTAAGTGAAAAGCTTTTCATTTGAAAGACTTATTACTAAGAAAAAGCAGTTCTATTAAAGACAGAAACAATCTGTGCTGTTGCACAGCAGCCTGAAGGAGGATACAAGAACTGAAGAAATCTGACTTCAACAAAATATATAAATCTATATATTAACAGTTGAGCTTGGAAAAAATATTAACATCACAACTTTACTGCAAGTAGGAAACTTGCAACATTAATAACCCTGGTGTGTTTTCCTTACAATTCTAGTAATGTGACTGAAAATTATTCTTGAATTTCCTTTCAAGGTAAAGATTGACTAAACCTGTTCTATTTTTTCTTTTCTTTAGCATATCTGTATTCTGAAAGAGAATGCCAAAGAGAAATATCGGATGTGATAATATCAGTCTTCTGGAACAACAGTTCAGGCACATGTACAGCTGTGTACACAAGCAATAAGTGACCTACTAAATGTGCTTTTTTCACTGAAGAACGACAACATTTTCTAAACATACTAGTCTATGTATTTTTCCTAATGTGATTATGTAAAACAGCTAAAGGGGAATGAGGTTTGTTAAAGTTTCAGTGAAACCTGAACAGAACATGGGCCAAAACCCAGAGATTCAGGTATTCTGCTGGGACCAGGTGGGAAACAGCCAGAGCATGTAAAAGAGCATGTAAAGAGCTTTGGGTTTTAATTTAACACATTGTTTGTAAATAACACAGTATTTGCATTGTATATAAACTGCACTGTTTTTTACATGGGAGACTGTATGTGTAAATAGATACACATGTACTTCACACAACAAACAGGCTGAGTAGGAATTTAAGGACTTTACCTTAGAGCCAGGTTTACAAAATGCTTCCTGCATGGAGAACACAATGGTTCGAGCTTAATGAATTTTTAAAAATGAGGCGTTGAGAGAACTACACTGAGATTAGTTCCTCCATGTTCTCTGTCACTTTGGGTGTTGTCTCCTCTTTTTCTGAGGGATCATGTCATTAGGAATTAGTAGAATGTTCTTGCAAATTCTGTAATAGTCACAGTTAGCTTAGTAGTAGGGGAAAGAAAAGTTATTAGTTATGTAGTTGCCCAGCATAAGATAATACAGTGCCCAGAACACAGAGACCAACCAGCAGCAAGGGATGAACCTGCAGAAATTAATATGCAGATAAATATACATTTTGAGAATGCTGGGGATTCTCAAATGAGCATGTAATGGGGGACATGCAGTAGGTGTGTCAGGAAGTCTGTAACCCTGGAGTATCTCTGCCAATGGAGAAATGGAGAGGGACCTGCATTTTGGGCAGGGTGATAAAAAAGCCTGCAGTGTTCATTAAGCTGAGAGATCTCACTGAGGATTGGCCAGTGGACTCTCCTTTTATTTAAATATCAGTTTTAGTCAGCTCCTCTGTCTCTTGGCTGTTTTCCAGGCTCTTAATACCTGGACTGTTTTTCAGAACAATTTGTTACTTTTACTGTTGGGGTGTCCTTTGAACTGCAGGTGACACCAACTCCTTGATGTTGACCAGGGCAGAAATCATTACCCCAGGAAATTAGTTGTGTTACTCGTGTGTCCCTAAGGACAACTAGAAGCTAAATGTTAATGCCCAGCAGCTGCATCTTGCTGGTTCCCACCTGTACTAATTGATTAACACAAGGTTTGGAGGCCGTGGCTTGCTCCCTGGTGACATTCAGGAGCAGGGAGCTGGGCCAGAGGGTCTGCTCGTGTCCTCCAGCTTTCCTGAGCCCTGGGCTGTGACTGACCGGGTGTGACAGG